TAGCTGTTTTTAGTTCTAATAAATAGGTATGCAGTTTTTGTTTTGTAAACACAGAAAAACTTAATACTCAATACATTGAGTTGTTCACAATCTTCTTCTTTCATCCTAAAAGTGTTTGTTTGTGCCGGAAGCATTTTTGCTTACCTGAGCAGTGAACGGGCAGGGACTAACAAATAAGTGGAAGTTAGGGACAAGATGGTAATTTTAAGTGGCCCACTAGCAAGGATAAAATATCAACCCAACTGTGTGTGGACAAAAAAATCATGGGAAAAAGGTGATTAAGATAGTTATCTGGCAGGCCCATGATATCCTGGAAGTCCCAAATCAAGCTGGGTAAATGAAGGATATCAGTGGATAAATGCCCATATCTTAGGATATCCTCTGAAGTAAAAGAGCCCTAGATACTAAACAGTAAACACTCAAGAACTCAAAAAGACCTTCGCGATTGTATAAAAATTAAAAATATCAACAAAAAACATTTGGATCTCAGGCAGCGATTGTTACCAATTTGATAGCACTTGAATCATATTACCCAATTGTCCGGGTCTGAGATCCCTCCCTGCTGCAAATTGTACCTAAAAACAAAATGAGACTTGTATCAGTGACATATTGGCACTCTAAAAAACATTAAAGCTACCAGATAAGCAACACAATTCGAAAATACGACCTCAAAGCATCTTCTCAGCTGATCCAATTTTCCTCTGATGATCCCCTGCTCACCATGGTGCAACCAAAAAAGAAAACATCATCATCATCATCTTCATCATCATCATAATAATAATAATTTTAAAAAAAGAAACAAAGAAAGAAAGAACGAAAAAAAAAAAAGCTGTGAACAGACTTTGTCAAGTATTTGTTTTGTGTCCTTTTCAACTCTACAATCAAGACACTAAACTATTTTTTTTGTTTTTAGTTTACAAAGTAGAGAGAATTCGGCGAGCAACAAGAAAAACGAAAATCATAGAAGCAGGAGGATAAACTTATATAAAAGCAGACAAGACAAAGTGGATCATCCCAGGCATTATTTTTATTGTGAAATCCTCATACGTGATATGGTATTATCTATTAAATGATGGAAATAAACATCTCTGACCAAAAAACCAAAAACTTACCACATACATGCAGTCGTTGATGAGAAAATCTTCTAACTCGCGCACATTTGAAACATCCAACTCCCGCATCAACATATCATATGGCAACACCTGCGCAAGGCCAAAATAATGTTTAAAAGATCCAAGCACGTCCAATAAAATGAAACTGGAAGTACACTTCTGAAGTAAAGAGAGAACGGGTTAAGAACTAAACTATTAAAATGTTTATTGTGCTAGAGAAACGAAAAGTAAAACATGGAGTCAAATTTACCCTTCTACAACATTAAATTCTGCCAGTTGGCTTGCGCTGAATACTTTGGAAAATTCTTGCCTATCCTTCACACAGTTACACTTAATTGAGGGTCCTACTTATAATCTAATAAGAGGTTACAGATTAAGAAGGAAAATAAATATAACCAAGGGAAGATTAAAAAATAATCATATCCTCGATTTTCTCCCAGAATATTTCCTGATTTGTTACTTCCATGTTTGCTATCATACACCCTCCAATTGCTCACCAACAGCCCATAGTTAGCAAGCAACAAAATAAAAAGAGCAAACTATCCAACAAGGATAGTCATACATGCAAAATTTTAATGTTTAACTTCAAAAGAACAACCAACACGTGGAGCTAAAATAAAAAACCAGATAAATTTTAGTAGATTGATGTAAATCTTGAAGTTTATTGGTAGAGAGAGAATAGTTCTATTCTGTATGCTTGATTCAGATACTGTTCACAATGGCCTATTCATACAACTCTATTACAAAATATTCCATGTCTGATATTACGAAATCACATGAGCTTTTGAACAAAGTACATCATATGACTTTCCAAAGAGCTCAACAAAAGTATTATAATTAGTTTAAAGGGCAAACATTTTAATCACTAAAAAGCAATTAAGCTTATTGACTATTTTATATTGAGCATGCAGTACAAACTCAAATAAACACATAGAGAGATGCATGGGAAGGCAACTACCTTGTTAGTGTCAGCCAGAGTAAGCACAGTTAGTTGCTTCAGCTTCAGGACTTGCTCGGGGACCAATTGAGGGAGACGTTTTTCAATAGCTGCATCATTAGATCACAATAAGAACGAAAAAAATAAAAATAAATTCCTTGAAGTTACAAGTCTTATAGAGAGAGAACTAAACAAATAACTAACGTAAGCACGATATAGCCAAGTACTTGTCAGAAGTTCTAGTCCTTTTGTTAGAGCCCACCTGAGAACTCTCCTTTCATTGAAGAATGATATGAGAAACGTTAAATAAGTACCAGGGATACTTGCAATCCACAATCAATTATGTTCAGGAACAGCTGGAGTCGGCCAACAAAGGGGAATTGTAACAGGATTCGCATATACGCTTATAAGCAAATAAATTGATATACATTACTACTAAGTACTAACTCATAAAAAGTCTAGTTGAAACTATTCTCTTGACTTTTACAGTTCTTTTAATGTGACTATTTTGCAATTTATTCAATTTCCAAACTCATTAAATAAGAGGTAAATTTTTTTATTACTATTCAGTTAGATTTTTACTTTTTGGAAAGCAATTAAAAGATCATTGTTAATGATAAAACATGCTCACAAAATGATCTTTGCTAAAAGGTCTTTGCTATTGATAGCATATGTCTTTTACGCACCAGTATCAGCATTTAACTTTTCCACACTGATGGCATAAACTCAAAAATATCAGCAGTCAATAGAGTTCAGACTACAACTATAAATGTAAATCAATCCAGCCCAAGGAACATGCTAGATCCAGCAATACTAACTGAAACTCAAGCTTCATATTTTAGGTCCAACACATAAACTCTACCGGTAGAGTTTTCATTTAAGATTTAACAGCCTGTAATGACTTTACGAAAGGTTTACATTAAATCTAATAAAAGTACACATGACGGGGCAAGCGCGACCTGAACAAGACTATGATCTGACGTTATTTTGACGCTTACTTTATCTTGAGTGGAAATATATGCTTAAAAGAAAACTCAACAGTTAAAATGGCTTCGTAAGTATCAAAAAAAGCACAAGACGGCACTTGCTCATTCCTCAACTCTTTATATCATGTATAGTGGAATTCACAGTTTTGACACGACAAAAGATTCAAGAGTAACTTCGACTAACACCTATCTCCTGCATATACCTGAACTAGCATACATACTATACGTCAGAACACCAGTTACATCTTTTTTACACTAATGCTGAAAAATAATCATCGGTGAAACTAAAGATAACGGATTGAAAAGTCAAACCTCCGAGTCCAGTGAACGGTGGAGAAAATGCAAGTTTACCATGAACCAAGTTATTATTATATAAACTAAAATTCCCAACAAAGTATCATGCCATTCAAGTCCACAAAGGTGAAGGCTATTGCATTGAACAACTTTGTATTGACAACTTAGGTGCAGCACTTCATCTACCGAACGGAAAGCACAAATCAAATCGTAAAATAACAGCTAAAATGCCAAATAACTAGAAGACAATGAACATTCCCAGCAATCTGAAGTGAACCAAAGTCTTACTCTTATATTCGCTCCATGTACCATGTGCAAACATGCGAAGCAAATCGAGGAATACGCTATTCTCAGTTCCTTCAAGCTGCACGCAAGTAGAAAAATCAATACATACTGTCAAAGTCGGATTGAGGCATTACCCCAAGCACCATGTATTTGTACCCACAACAACCTCCTAACAATAAAACTCTCAGAAAGGAAAGAAAGCTTATCAATGTGACATCAAAATCAATTGTCAAATCATCAACAACCTCGAGAACGCTGGGAACAGCGAGAAGCTCGGAAAAAGCAAAGAGGGAAGGGTGCTTAGTGGCCTCAACGACGACGTTTGAGAGTGCCGCGCCATTCACCCCCGATGCCTGCTTCACAAAGAACTCTACGTGCTCCGCTTGCTTTTCCTCAATGTCCATTTCAATGATCTCAAAAAATCGACAATCGATAAATGAATGGAAAATACGGATTGATATATGAAAAATTCAAGAATCAAATAGCGTAGAGAATCTCGTGTTCATCCAGTCGAAGGAATAGTGTTAGGAGATGGAACTGCAGCTGGATTCACAGTCCCTCTTGGGTTGGATTAGAATGGATCTTGTTTGGCTTTTGTTCTTGGTGCTCCAAGGCATGTCTGAAGAACCACGAGCGGCTAAAGCCTAAAGCCCCAACTGAACCTCATCTTTGACCCGTTTTCGGACCGCCGGCTCTGGTTTCGGCTAAAAGAGTGGGTTGGGTTGAAAACAGTAGAGGCTTGTTTTACACTGCACCGAAAAAAGGTGTTAAGTTGGACGAAGAGGGCATTGATGATGTTAATCGTTTATGAAAATTTTTGGTTTTGTTTGGGATTTTTAGTTTGGTTTAGTTAATTTTGAAAAAGGTGGTATGGTTAATTGTTAGTGGATATATTAAAATAATATTTAAAATAAAATAATTTAAATGATTTGATGTAAAAGTAGGAGAGATATGGTTTGATGTGATAGTTAGTTAAAATAATGTGAGTGGATTAATAGTGAACTAAAGTTGATGTGGTGTGTATTAACGATTGATTGATATTATTTAATTATATTGAATAGTGAGGTTGAGTTAAAGTTGAGTTAAAAAAAGTGGTTGAGTTAAAATGTTGAAATTTTTTTGAAAATTTCCATACACAAACATGCTGAGTAGGTTATTTCACTCACAGACATCCTTGCAAAGAGGCCCTACTAAAAATTTGTAATTCATGGAAAGTTGAAAAATATTTTATTTTCCATTAGTTCGTCAGTTCGAACAAGCACCTAGAACCACAGAAAAATGGAAGATTCTCATATTATATTATTTCCCTATTTAGATTATTTTATATTCCATAATATAAGATTGTTTTGGTTTTATCTTGGTATTTTATATTATAGGGAATCGGATTTAATGGAAAGAAAGAGAGAGAGAGAGAGGGGTTTGCGTGGCTAGGAGATCTAAGAGAGAGAAAAGAGGATCCACACTTGCCTAAATACATGCTACAAATATGGAAGGAAATTACAAGGAGTCCTATGCCTTGAAGAAGACTCCAACCCGGAGATCATATAAATACCCTAGGAGAAGCTCTTATTGCGGCTGCTGAAGTGTGAGAGATTTTTAGAGCGATAGTTGAGCTTCATATTTTCTAATATGTTCAGTATTGTACACAGTTCAGTTTGAGAGTTCTTACACGCTCAAGGACTGAAGCTGTTCTTTATTTAGTTTCTTTATTTCATTAAAACTATCTTTTGTTTTTGCACTTAGAGAGTAAGTGTAGGATAAGAAGTCCATGCGACGTGGCCGGAGAATTAGTTGATAGGACCGTAAATAGTGTTGGCTAGACTAGAAGGGAGTTCAAGTCATGTAAGTCCAAACTATATCTCTAAACGGTTTATCAATGGAAGAGCTCTGAGGGGAAGTGGGATGCATCCCTGAAGAGTTTTTAAATCTTCGGTCTTATTGCTTACGATTCTTGTTCGTGTTCGTACGTCGATTAGCGCACTTCATAATAAATATACGTTTCAAAAGTGAAGTATGAATGCATCTCATATGTAAACGGGTGGATAGTGTTTAAGTTCTCATCCGAGGAGGATCGAACCAGCGTTCTCCATGGTGGATCTTACACGATTTTCGGGCGTCTTCTTTTGAAAATGCTTCCCGAATGGTTTCATTTCAGAGATGATGACATCTAGAAGGTGGCGGTGTGGATCAATCTCCCATGCTTGCCACTTGAATGTTGGAACGAGAATGTCATAGGTAAAATTGATTTCGGAATTGGTAAGTCAATCACCACCGACAAACTTACTGAAACCAAAAAAAAAAAGATGCAGCTACGCACATGTCCTCGTAGTGACTGACGTCCCCAAGGAACGGGGGTATGCCATTCAAGTGAAAACACCCTACGAATTTTGCTTTGCTCAAGGGTTAGTCTATGAAAACGTGTCTGATTATTGCAATCGATGCAATCAATTAGGCCACCCGCCATAAAAAATACACCTTTAAAAAAGAGTCATGCTCAAGCCATGAGTCCTCTGACCAAGCTAAAGAGAAAACCGAGGACAATGAGCTGCTTAATAAAGATGAAGACAAGTCCCTTGAGAAGGGGACAAACTGGGAGAACTGGCATCATGCTAAAGCCGAAGGTAAGGGGGCCAATGGCACCAGTGATCCTGAAGAGGGAAAAGGGCTTGAACATGCCCAAGCTTTTGAAGCCGATGAGCAGCCCTTTCAACTCGTAAGCAAGAAAAATAAATCTTCTAGTCAAACAAACAGCTCAAGTCGACCAATATCAAAAGTAAAATCTATAAAGATGAAGGACTTCGCCCTTATGAAGAGGGACCGGCCAAAGCAAGTGCACTGAAGAAGGGGGTTGTCCCCTCCTCCAAACAATGATAACCATCGCTTGAAATATTAGGGGTCTTAATGCACCCCTAAAACAAGATGAGTTAGCCATTCTCATTCACGCGAATACATGTTTTGGGAGTTTTTGAGACAAAAGGCGTTGTCTTCGTCTCTCTCTTTTTGTGCATAACCGACTTTGAGAACGGACTTTTTGTGATAACTCCAATATAGTGTACCATGAACGTATCACTATACTATGGATTCTAGTAAAAGTGGATCTTTTGGCTTGAGACATCCTACCCCATGTCATTTATGTCAGTCTCAAGAGCAAGGTTAACAATCATCATTTATTCATTTATTTGTTAGCTTTGTTTATTGTCTCCATAGCATGGGAGCTCGGAAATAGCTTTGGGCGCGACTTCAAAAGCTCTAAGTCACTCATTAGCATTCCTTGGCTCCTTATGGGTAATTTTAATACAATTTTCAGACCATAAGAAAAAATAAACAGCGAGTCCATCACAACTAGGGACATTATGGACTTTTCTGCTTTTTGTCATAATTCGAGCTTGTTGATTTTTCTTCTACGAGATTCTTCCACACTTGGACCAATAACACTACTTGGTCCAAGCTTGACCGAGTCATGGTGGACAATCGATGGCTTCAGGAGAAATTTTTTAGTCAGGTGAATTTCTTAGCCCCAAGTATCTCCGACCACTCACCATGCATAGTCACTTTATTCGAGCACAATAGCATGTAGGGATCACCTTGGCGATTTTTCAACATGTGGGTCGAACATGAAAATTTTAGGCATAGGATTCAACAAGGTGGAAACAATATGTTTGGGGCACTGCTCAGTTCAAAGTTAATACTCGCTTAAAGGTTATGAAATATGAGCTTACGGAACTCAATGTTAAGCAATTTTCTAAATCTCAGCCCCAACAAAAATGCCAAGCTAGCTTTTAAGAATTACCAACAACAGCTGCATGATAGGCCCAATAACTTAAAGATAAAAGTTTCACTACTCTCTCTTCGAGCCAAGACACTTAATATTGTCGAGGCGGAGAAGCACTTTTTCTAGTAAAAAGCGAAGTGTCATTTCCAAATCAAGGGCGACAAGTCCACCAACTTTTATCGTATCATTGTCAAATGGAATGCAAAGAAGAATTTTATTGCCTCAGTTACAATGAGAATGACAACACGACTACCTCCCTTGAACATGTCTCAAAGGAGTTTTTTGCCACTTTGAAATGCCTCTAGGGACCGAGGTCCCACCAAGGATATTGACTCTTCAGTTATCCGATGTTGCCCACTTTATCTCGCAAGAGCAGCATTGAAGTGAATAAGATTCACCCGGGCTCCTTCAACTCGAACCGGCCTCCGTACCTGCAGAACCCAACGCTGGGTGGCCCCGGCGTCGGGCCTCCGATGCCTAAGTCAGTGCTCGGATCAAGAAGATAAAGTGTAGTAATAGAATGAGGAGAGGATAATGTGTGAATGAGGTACCTTGGCCCCCCTTTTATAGGGGGAGTGTACCTTTGTAGGCTCAATATGAGCTTGGCCCATAATGTTAGGCTTGGACGTCTTAGTGGGCTTATCTTCCAAAATGTATCCGCTTTATCCATTAAACCAGGTCCAGTATAATATCCTATATCATCTAGTCCCCTCCACTATGGTCGAGTAAGCATAACTCGATCCAAGAGTGAAATGCCTCTTCGAGTTGTTTTCTTCAGCATGCCACTAAGATCGAGCATCGAAAGTCGAATAACCATTGAATAACCACTGAAATATCCTCCAAATGAACTCTGAGATCTCAAGATCGAAAACCAAAAAACCACGGAGGTCAAAAACTGAATGATCTGATATCGGGGTCGAGAACCGAAAGATTTGTCAATAAGGTCGAAAATCGAGAATCGAGAGACCGTTGAGGTCGAAAACTGAGAGCCGAGACCACTGAGGTCGAAAACCGAGAGTCGAGACCGTTGAGGTCGAAAACCGAGCATCGAGACCGCAGGAGGTCGAAAACCGAGAGTCGAGACCGTTGAGGTCGAAAACCGAGAATCGAGACCGCAAGAGTTCAAAAATCGAGAGTCGGGGCCGTTGAGGTCGAAAACTGAGCATCGAGACCGCAAGAGGTCAAAAACCGAGAGTCGAGACCGTTGAGGTCGAAAACCGAGAATCGAGACCGCTGAGGTCGAAAATCGAGAATCGAGACCGCTGAGATCGAAAACTGAGCATCGAGACCGCAAGAGGTCAAAAACCGAGAGTCGAGATCGTTGAGGTCGAAAACCGAGAATCGAGACCATTGAGGTCGAAAACCGAGAATCGAGACCATTGAAGTCGAAAACCGAGAATCGAGACCACTGAGGTCGAAA